TGTCATCTGCATAATGTAGGTTGTTAATGAGTCCTCCTCCATTCCTGATGCCCCGTTCTTCTTCATATAGTCCAGCTTCTTGGATTATTTACTCAGCATACAGATTGAATAGGTGTAGTGAAAGGATACAACCCTGATGCACACCTTTCCTGACTTTAAACCATGCAGTATCCCCTTGTTCTGTTCGAACTACTGCCTATTGATCCATGTACAGGTTTCACATGAGCACAATTAAGTGTTCCAGAATTCCCATTTGCTGCAATGTTATCCATAATTTGTTATGATTCACACAGTCGAATGCCTCTGCATAGTCAATAAAACACAGGTAAACATCTTTCTGGTATTCTCTGCTTTCAGCCAGGATCCATCAGACATCAGCAATGATATCCCTGGTTCCACATCCTCTTCTAAATCCGGCTTGAATTTCTGGCAATTCTCTGTCGATATACTGCTGCAACCGCTTTTGAATGATCTTCAGCAAAATTTTGCTTGCATGTGATATTAATGATATTATTCCATAACTTCCACATTCGATTGGATTACCTTTCTTGGGAATAGGCATAGATATGGATCTTTTCCAGTTGGTTGGCCAGGTAGCTGTCTTCCAAATTTCTTGGCATAGGCAAGTGAGCACTTCCAGCACTGCATCCATTTGTTGAAACATCTCAACTAGTATTCCATCAATTCCCTAAGCCTTGTTTTTCACCAATGCCTTCAGTGCAGCTTGGACTTCTTCCTTCAGTACCATAGCCTCCAGATCATATGTTACCTCCTGAAATGGTTGAACATTGATCAATTTTTTTGGTATAGTGAATCTCTGTATTCCTTCCATCTTCTTTTGATGCTTCCTGCATCATTTAATATTTTCCCCCATAGAATCCTTCAGTATTGTAACTGGAGGCTTGAATTTTTTCTTCAGTTCTTTCAGCTTGAGAAATTCTGAGCATGTTCTTCCCTTTTGGTTTTCTATCTCCAGGTCTTTGCATGTGTCATCATAACACTTTACTTTGTCTTCTTGAGCTGCGCTTTGAAGTCTTCTGTTCAGCTCTTTTACTTCATCATTTTTTTCCTTTTGCTTTAGCTACTCAACGTTCAAAAGCAAGTTTCAGAATCTCTTCTGACATCCATTTAGGTCTTCTCCTGTCTTTTCAATGACCTCTTGCCTTCTTCATGTATGATGTCCTTGATGTGATTCCAAAACTCGTCTGGTCCTTGGTCACTGGTGTTCAACGCATCAAATCTATTCTTGAGATGGTATCTAAATTCAGATGGGATGTACTCAAGGTTGTACTCTGGCTTGAAATAAGGGTTTAGGAGGCAGGAATTTCCTGGTTGTCAAGAGACGCCAAAGAAAGCTGCTTCTACCAGCTTGTCTGGAGTAAAACGTGTACAAAGCCAAGTGGGTTGGGCGGCAGGAAGACATAGACACAGCCTCACAACCAGAATCTGCACCAGGCTGCCTGTTGTCTCTTTGGCTGTATCTGATTTCCCCAATATAACTGGGATAGGAGGCCACCCATGTATACTGGCTCTGGACTGAGGGCTCCAGGGTGGGCTACATGGAAGCAACTATAAAACTGCTACATACAGAGAGGTGAGAGGATGGATAGACAGACTGACAGGTAAATAGATACAGATTGACTTCCCAACCAAAATAATTCTGCAAATAAAAATTTTTTTTTTTTTTTTTTAATGAAGCAAACTTATACTAAGAGGCAGGTAACAAAATCAACAATGAAAAGATGAATTCACTTTATAAGAAAATAAAATATAGGACAATTTGGCTAATCCTTTAAATAAATATGTTGTTTAGTATCCTCAAAGAGACAGACAAAATAATAATACCTTTAAAAAAGGATGATAAATTATAAAAAATAAAATAAATGGAAAAGAATGAAATAAGAGTAGGGAGATACAAAACAGAAATCTTAGAAATAAAAACAGAGTTTCTGAAAAAAAAAAAAAAGACATAAAACTTTAGACTGTACATAGTCGGACAGAGAATTGGTGAACTGGAAGACAGTTCTAAGGTATTTACACAAATATTAGCTTAGAAAGGCAAAAAGATAAAAACTAAAGAATCAAGTAGGAGATACAGAGAATAGATTGAGATACTCCAATAAATGTTCAACAGGAGTTGTAGAAGGGAGGATAAAAAAGAATAGGGAAAATAGCAGAGAAGCAGTAACTGGAGAGAAAATGGCTGAAAGTTTTCCAAAATTTAAGAAAGACAAAAGGCCTTGGATTGAAAGTATGCCCCAAGGGCCAAGCAGAATAAATAAAAATAAATTCAAACCTGGATACATTGTAGTACAGCTGCAGAAGATCAAGGAAAAAGATAAATGCCAAAAGTCAATGGAGGAATATGTTCACAGTGTTGAACTGTAAACCCAGAATTCTATACCTAGCTAAAATCACTCCAAAGTGAGAGTGAAATAAAGATATTTTGAGATATGCAAAGCCTAAGAAAGTTTACCACCCAGAGATCCTTACTGAAAGAGCTACTAATGCAGGTTTCTCAACCTATTAACATTTTGGTCCTGATAATTCTTTGTGGTGGGGGGCTGTCCTGTGCATTGTAGGATGTTTAGCAGCATCCCTGGCCTCTACTCACTAGCTGACAGTGTTCCCCCAATTGTGACAACCAAAAATGTCTCCAGATATTGCCAAATGCCCCTGCAGGGAAAAACTGCCCCTAGTTAAGAACTACTGTTGTTAGCTGCCATCAAGTCAGCCAGTGACTCATGGTGACCCCATGCACAATGCGACAGGACCATTGTCAGCCATAGGGTTTCACTGGCTGATTTTTGGAAGTAGGTCGCCAGGCGTTTCTTCCTAGTCCATCTTATTCTGGAAACTCTGCTGAAACTTGTTCAGCATTCTAGCCACATGTAAGCCTCCCTGACAGATGGGGGTGGTTGCTGCACTTGAGGTGCACTAGCTGGGAACTGAACCCAAGTCTCTTGCATGGATGGTGAGAATTCTACCACTGTGATGGTTAAGGTTATGTGTCAACTTGGCTAGGCCATGATTCTCGGTGGTTCAGCAAATATGATGTAATCACCATCCGTGATATGATCTGTTGTGATATAATCACCATCCATAATGTGATCTATTGTGAGCAGCCAATTAGTTGACAAGGGCGTTTCCTTAGGAGTGTGGCCTGCATACAATATATATGAGTGCTCTGGCAAAGCGTACCCTGTCTAGCTCCTGCATCCAACTGATCATCCTCTGACCTCCAGTTCTTGGGACGTGAGCCAGCAGCCTTCCACCTGACCTGCCAATTTTGGGTTCCTCAGCCCTTGCAATTGCATTAGTCAGAAGAATCCTCCAGCCTGATGCCTGACCCACGAATTTGGGACTTGCCAGCTTCCACAACTGCGTAATCCATTTCCTTTAGATAAATCTCTGTTTTATATATACATACACACACACACACACACACACACACACACACACACACACACACACACTCTTCATTTGTTTTGCTCCTCTAGAGAACCCAGGCTAAGACAGCCACTGAACCACCACTGCCCTCTAAGAGCCACTGTACTGATGGATAATCTTCAGCAAGAAGAAAAGCACACCCAGGGAAGGTATGAGGTTTCCTTACTGTGAAGTTACCTTCCCCCGTTGCCATACTGTACTCTTTGTATATTTATTTACATTTTTATATGTAGACATGCCTTTTTTAAAATCATTTTTTAAAAAAGGTAGCATATTAAGCACATTGTTTAGGACCTTGCTTTTTTTCTCTTAGTATTTCTGGAGATAGGCTGCAGTGTTTTTTTTTTTTTTTAATTGTACTTTAAGTGAAGGTTTACAGAACAAATAGTTTCTCATTAAACAGTTAGTACACATATTGTTTTATGACAACGGTTAACAACCCCACGACATGTCAACTGCCATGTTCTTTTTACCAGCCCGATGACATATATGTGAGAGGGGCATTTAAGGGACAAGTTAATTAAACCATTAATTAAACCTTTAATTTCCCAGGTTGTCTAGAATCTATCTTTGCATCTATTTAATAGGTCATCAGAAAGAAACTTCCCACACTGATATTAATTAAGCCTTTTGCCAAAATTTTCAGTTGATTATAAGTACTAGAAATGACCACGTGAAAAATATTTTTATATTATATATAAAAATGCTGTTGAAGTTTTTCATTACATTATCCAGTTTCTTTTATAAAAGATGTACATGATGAATGCCTCCTAGAATTTGAAGCCAGGATGAAGTTTATTTTTTTTTTAAATGCTATAGGCAATAAAAACCACACAGCTTATTGTGCTTCCCTTGTCTGCCTAGATTGCTGGAAGCTCAGAAGTAAATTTAATATTCAAGAACAGAACTCCTCTTACCTCAGGCCCTGAAGAATTATCCTCTCTCTCCCTCTCTCTCTCTCCCTCTCTCTCTCGTTTCTAAATTCTCTCAACATAAAAAAAAAATCATTTGGTTTTACATATAGTTTTATTGCAAGTTGACACACTTCCATTTTGGAAGTAGTCTGTTTATAAATTATAAATAGAAATATTAAACTAAAAATTATTTTTGAAATGCTAGAATGGTGAATTCAAATGTATTTCATCGTTAAAGAAAAATATACCAACAACCCACAATCACTAAAGTAAATTAAAAAGAGAATATCCTTCCCCTCCCCTGCAAAACAAACATACAAACAAAAATGGTGGTTTGAAAAATATTTGTGCTGTAGCTACAGCTTATTCAGTCATTACTAAGTAGTTGAAGAAAGACTTTTCACTGGCTAATAATTTATGTCTGGCCACTATAAGTCTACAGATCAAAAATTTAAATTTAATTTGAAAAGTACATCATCCCAGTATTCTTTGTGAAATCATAATTACAAGAATATTTCACATATTTGTAGAATTTTTCATCTGAAAAATGACAATGCTAAATTTTTTTTTGAAAGAATAAAGACGTGAACGTTTAGTTTGAAAAAAATAATTACACTTCTGTTTCACTAGACTTACTTTTTTCCATTCCATTCCACAATCTTTGTAAAGTTAAGGTAATTGTCTTCTCCAGTTAGAAATACGTAGTCCCCATCATTAGTTCCATTTTTCTGAAAATAAGCGAGTATGATAAGTTAAAGTAACTAGGAAATTTAATCTCCTTCATGAAACTGCCCTAATTGGGCCTAACTGCTACATGAATTATAACTAGGAAATGGAGTAAATATTTCGTTAAATACAATATAAGCCACATTATTACTTCATGGTTTTAAAAGTATAAACCCAGTGACCTAATTAAAAACTGGAAAGAGATTTGAATAGACATTCCTCCAAAGAAAATATACAAAGAGCCAATAAGCATATGAAAAGATGTTCAGCACTTATTAAGGAAATGAAAGTCAAAACCATAATGACATACCACTTCACATGCACTAGGATGGCTGTAATAAAAGAGAAAGACAATAACAAGTGTCTTCGAGGGTATGGAGAAATCAGAACCCTCATACACTAGTTGTGAGAATGTAAAAAGTTGCAGCTGCTTTGGAAAACAGTCTGGCTGTTCCCCAAAAAAGTTAAACATAGAGTTATCATATGACCCAGCAATTCCACTCCTAGGTATATACCCAAGAGAAATGAAAACCTGTACACAAGTGTTCACAGCAGCATTATTCATCCTAACCAGAAAGTAGAAACAACCCAAATGTCCATCAACTGATGAACGGATAAACAAAATGTGGTACATCCATAATGAAATATCATTTGACAATAAAAATTAATGAAGTAGTGATTCATGCTACAATATGGGTGAACCTTGAAAACATGCTAAATGAAAGAGGCCATACACAAAAACCATATATTGTATGATTCCATTTATTTTAAATGTCCAGAATAGGCAAATCCATAAAGACAGAGAGATTAATGGTTGACAGGGGATGGGGGGAAGAGCAAATGGGGAGGGACCATTAATGGGTGTAGGTTTTTTGTGGGGGTAATAAAAATGTTCTGGAATTAGACAGTGATGATTGTTGCACAACCTTGTGAATATATGAAAAACCACTGAATTGTATACTTTAAAACAGTGAATTTTATGGTATGTGAATTATATCTGAATTAAAAAATATATAGGGGCCGTAGCGGTTCAATGGTAGAACTCTTGCCTTCCATGTGGGAGACCTAGGTTCATTTCCCAGCTAACGCACCTTAAGTGCAGCCACCACCCATCTGTCAGTGGAGCCCTGCATGTTACTATGATGCTGAACAGGTTTCAGCAGACCTTCCACACTAAGACAGACTAGGAAGAAAGGCCTGGCAATCTACTTCCAAAAATCAGCCAATGAAAACCCTATGGATCACAACAATCCTATCCCATAGTGCTAGGGGTGGCCATGAGTCAGGGGCTCACTAAACGTCAGCTAACAACAACAAAAGCATGAGCCCAAGGCCAGGACCCAATTATACATGATCAAGCAGTAGCTGTATTAGAAAGTGGTGTTAATCCCATTTTCAATTAAGGCTTCTACTCTCCAGGTTACACTTCTTACAAATTTCTTATCTGGGGATGGAACTAGGATCCTGGGAAACAGCATGGGTATTAATTCTTCTATAACAATGAAGTAATGAGCTAACAATTACTCAGAATTAATAATATTCCTGGCACTGTTCTAGAATTTTTGCATGAACTATCTCACGAAATCCTCACAACAACACTATAAGATAGTATGGTAGATAAAATAACGGCCTCACAAAGATCCCCACATCTAATCTTTGGAACCTGTGAGTATGTTACCTTACATAGCAAAAGGGACTTTGCAGATACGATTAAATAAAGGATCTTGAAATGCGGAGCGTATCCTGGATTATCCAGGTGGGCCCAATGTAATCACAAGAGTACTTATAAAGGAAAGAAGGAAGCAGGAGAATCAGAGTCAGAGGAGATTATGACGATGGAAGCAGAAGTCAGAGAGAGAGAGCAAGATTTGAAGAAGCCTTGCTGCTGGCCTTGAAGGTGGAGGAAGGGGCCATGAGCTAAGGAATGCAGGTGCCTCTAACAGCTGGAAAAGCAAGAAAACACATTCTCCTGTAGAGCCTCCAGAAGGAATGCAGCACTGTTGACACCTTGATTTTAGGACTTCTGACCCTCAGACTGTAAGATAGTGAATTTGTACGGCTTTAAAACACTCAATTTGTGGTAATCTGTTACAGCAGCAATAGGAAACAAATACGTATTATTTTCCTCTCATTTTATAATGAGAAAACTGAGGCAAAGAGAAGTGAAATAACTTGCCCAAGTCACTCAACCAGTAAATGGCAGAGTTAGGACTGGAACCCTATGTAACACCATACTCCACAGGCTGGCCCTCTTAGCCACTAAAAGGAAAACAACAACAACAACAACCCGTTGCTGTGGAGTCAATTCCGACTCACGGCAACCCCGTGTGTACAGAGTAAAACTGCTCCATAGGGTTTTCATGGCTGTGGCTTTTCAGAAGCAGCTCACCAGGCCTTTCTTCCGAGGAGCCTCTGAGTTCAAACTGCCAGTCTTTCGGTTTGTAGTTAAGCATGTAACCATTTGCATCACCCAGGGACCCCTCTTAGCTACCAGGCTATCTATTCATTTATGTATCAACGTTTCATTGAGTGCCTACCATGTGTCCAGTATTATTCTAGGTAACAGAGATACAGTAACACCTGTGAAAGTTGAACCTGTGTAAGGTGGAAACCTGTCAAAGAAGGAAAACTAAAATATTTACCACTAAATAGAGAGCGATAGAAAAGTAGTGACTGCACCCTGTCAAAGGCGGAAAACTTGCAAGATCCAGAAAAACAAGGCAGTTTTGTCAAGTTCTGGCTCTCACAGGTTTCACTGTACATCATTTTTTAACATAAGCTTATAACATAAGCATTTCTCATGTTATCAAAAACTATTTATGAACACACTTTTAATGGCTCCATAATATTACATGGAAGTAAAATAATTTACTGAATCACTCTATGATTGTTATTTAGTTCAATATATTTTTTGCTATTATAAATAATGGGTATCTTTATGCCTAAATACCTTTTCCGTATTTTTGTTCCGAGACAGATCCTTAAAAGTGACACAACTAAACAAAAGAATATGAACACTTTTAAGGCTTTTGATACCTACAATCAAGTGGTTTCTATACCATTCTCCAATAAAAAGAAACAACGATCCTTACAGAAATGGCTGAATCTAAGACTGGGGCAGGAAATACGTAAGATAAGCCTGGAGCATCTTATAGTACCAGAAAGTAAGGAAGTGCTCAGAAAAGAAGACAAACAAAAAACCCCACAATGACAGGGGTATGACAAAATGACACAGAGGCCAACTGAAAGAGCTCCCAAAGGCCAAAGGTGGAACAATTTGAGCAATAAAGAGTTAGATCATAATCCAAAGCATAAAATATTCATAAGTTCATACTGATATAAATAAATTACTGAACAAATTAATAAATGAGGGAGAAGAGACAGTCTCCAGCGTAGAATTCCAAATAAATCATGTAGATGCTCCACCTAAAGAACAGGAACATACCTCCCCACTCCTGAAATGTGGGCTGCACGCAGTGGGCTTCATTTCAAAGAGTACAGTATGGAAGGCTGGGGAGTAACTTTACAGTGGAGACACTTGACAAATACTACTACAACCAGGTGCTCAAGCTCTCTTATGCCAACGAGAACAGAGGCACCCTAAAAGCAAAGATGTCGCTTTGATGGTTAAGGTGTGCCTGGCCCAAGCCATAGTCTATTCAATTGCCTCATACGTATGTGAAAGCTGGACAATAAAAAAGGAAGAGAGAAGAACTGGTGCATCTGAACTGTGGTGATGGTGAAGAATACTGAATATACTGTGGACTGTCAGAAGAACAAACAAATCAGTCTTACAAGGAATACAACCAGAATGCTCCTTAGAAGCAAAGATGGCGAGACTTCGCCTTGCTTACTTTGGACATATCAGCAGGAAAGACCAATCGCTAGAATAGAACATCATGGCTGGTAACGTATAGGGCCAACATAAATGAGGGAAACCCTCAGTGAGAGGAACGGACACAACAGCCACCACCGTGGACTCACAAATACCAACAAAAATGAAGATGACACAGGACCAACTGGGCAACGTTTTGTTCTGTTATACATGAGGTCACCACGAGTCACAGCCAACTCCACAGCAACTAACAACAATCATCAATGGATGTGGATAAGCTGAGTGGCACTGCAGTATGACAATAAGAGCATCTGGTATTTAGCCAGGTCCCTTTTAGTAAGGAGCTCTGTGCCAATATTCTGTCTGTACACTCACGACATCCCATTCATCTCCACACCCTGACCCCGTTAAGTGTTTCGTTGTTTCATCACTAAAGTCTTTACGGAAAAGTGTTCTAGAGTGTTAACTTAAGGTTTTCCTGCTTCATCACAATGTACAGGGGACCAGCTGGAACAGGGATACAGGCCTCGTGTATCAGAGGCAAATGCTGGCAGAACACGACCTAAGGAGAGATTAGGGGCTGGGCTTGGGCAGGGTAGAAGCAGTAGGTGCCAGTCAAGATGTGGTGAGGGTCTGGCAGAATCAGACCACAACCCCACAGCCTACCTCTGTCTTTGAATGAATGATGGCTCAAGTGGGAACTTTTGTGCCACAGCCTCAAGAGCTAGTTCTTGAGTAGATGAAAAACCAGAGCATGTGGAAAACCATAAAAAGAAGACACTGTCTTTCACCAACAACACTTTAGAGAGTTTACTTGGCTCCAAAATGGAGAGTTATACCAGTCACTCATTAATTCAGGGTTATTATTGGAGCCAGTCGTGGAGGGAAAAAATAATAATGGTTCTTTAAATGTATACTGCAATTTATAATTTGCAAAGCACTTTTATGAATTTCTTCTCAATTAATCTTCACAATAATCTTTGAGGTATGGGTATTTTTAGCCTCAGAAAAGCCCCACAGTTATTAAGTGAAAAAGTCAGAATCCAAATCGAGGTCCTCTGGTTCTAAGTCTTATGCCCTTTCCTAGATGTGGGAAATCATTCAAAGGTCTTATCTAACTAAGGAATATTATAGCAACTTTCACCAATGGGGCCTTGTAGAGACACACCGGTACTTGGAAGGAGAGCCAAAGGGCAAAGGCAGAGAAAGAAAAAATAAATAAAACAATACCTCCTTGCTTTCAGAAAGAAGAAATGCAAATCTATTAATCAGCCTGTAAACGTAGGTTGTCCCTGGGCGAGACAAACAGTTCACACACTCGGCTGCTAAATGAAAGGTTGGAGGTTCAACTCCATTCAGAGGTGCCTTGGAAGAAAGGCCTGCCAAATCTACTTCCCAAAATCAGCCATTGAAAACCCCATGGAGCACAGTTCTACTCTGACACACATGGAGTCGCCATGAGTCACAATCAACGCCACGGCAACCAGTACTGGTGGCAAATGCAGGTTACATTTTTAAAAAGGTATATAAAGATGTTATAATTCTTTTGAGTTCAATGATACAAAAACAGAAAAGCAAGCTATACAGTGAGAATTACTGAGGTATCAGGAACAGAATCTACTTGGTGGATGGAAGCAACTAGGACCAAAATAGGCTTGAGGAAACCTTTGTCTCTCTGTGTAGGAGGCTCTTCTGAAATTATTTGTAGAGGGCCGGTCTAGTCACAGCTTAACAAGAAATCAGTCCTTCCTCTGGCCCTGTGGAAGCTGTGTTCCTATGAGGCAGGACCTTGTAGAGAACATCTATCTGCTCTGCTCACCCAGAGGGAAGGTAGAGGGTCTTTCCCTTGGCAGGGCCCTACACAGGACCCCCACTGCTTGCATTAAAACAACAAAACTGTTGCTGTTGAGTCAATTCCAACTCACAGTGATCCCACGTGTTACAGAATAGAACTTCTCCACAGGGCTTTCTGGGCTGTATCTTTACAGCAGCAGATCACCAGGCCTTTCTCACAACGTACCACTGGGTGGGTTTGAGCTGCCAACCTTTCAGTTAGCAGTCGAGTGCAAACTGTTTATGCCACCCAGAGCCTCTTACACAGACAATGTTAAAAACTTGCTTACAGTTCTGTTTGAATGACTTTTAAGTTTCGTATATCCTAGGGGGCAAAATGGAAATATTATCACTATTTGCCATATAGGAAGTGAAATGCAAAGGGATTATATAATAAAGGTAAAATCTTGAATAGCCAAAAAATAACTGCAAATTTAAAGATGAGCAAATACATCACAATTCCAGATTCCAACCCTCATGTAACACTTTTTTCTTAAGGTTAAGTTTGTCTTTTACCAACCTCCCAACTATCCATTTTACTCAAGTTTTTTTTTTTTTTTTTTTTCTTCTTCCCTTCTGCTAAAATACTTTATTTTTCATGTACTGTACAAGACATCCAGAACTTCAGGCAATTTTGTTCTCCTAAAAGAGACCCAAAGTTAAGATAAAATCTGGGTTGGCATGCCCATCTCAGCAGAACAAAGTGGCTCTGAAAAGACAAAAAAATCAACTTACCCCATAGAACAAACCAAAATAGGGAGAGATGTCAGATCTGAAGACGCTGATGAGGGATAAGATCTCATCTTTGTAGCCCCAGAGCAATTCGTCGACTGTGTGCGTCACAAACAGCTTCTGCTGATAGGCCTTCAGCAAGGCCTCGATGATCTCCCTGAGGAAGTGGTTCTGGACCCATTCCATGGCAGTCTGAGGAGCAAAGGAAAACTGAGATAGCAGTGTACCCTCCAATGCACCACCACCCTACTCTCGTCTTCTACTCCTTCAGCAAAAGGGGTTGGAAATTTGAAGTGTTGAGCTTAACAAACAGGTGGAAAATGAGCCAGCAAGCTTCTCTCTGGCTGTGATGCATGTGGAAAAATAAGACCCTTCAGTTGTTGTCTTTTCTCAGTATTACATTTGTAAATGTGATCTTAGCATCTGAAACTGCAAGCTCTATGAGTTATGTCGTTGGTGTTGTTGTTAGCTGCTGTTGAGTCGATTCCGACTCATGGTGACCCCGTGTGTGCACAGCAGAATTGCTCCACAGAGTTTTCAAGGCTGTGACCTTTGGGAAGCAGAGAGTCAGGCCCGTCTGCTAAGGTGCCTCTGGGTGGGTTTGAGCTGCCAAACTTTCTGCTAGCAGTTGAGCATTAGTAGTTTCAGCTAGTAGTGAACAGTTTGCAGCACCTGTGGACCTCATGATACAGTGGAGAAAGCTCTTGTGACCACATTGGCATCTTTGGCCACAAGGTGGCGCCACGTTCCTCCTGAACAGGGCCAAAGCTGGGCCCTCATTATAAACCCTGCACCACTAGCAGGAGGGCAGGGCTCTGAGATTTACATCCACCCTTCAGGTCCCGGGTCCAGCAGTGAGAGTCCAGCTGAACATGTAGTGGTGTCCTAGGAGCTAAGGTGAGACTCTTCCAGGGGGCTGTTGTAGGTGAATAAGGCTCAAGTGTGTAGTGTAGGTGTTATTAGTAAATGGATTTGTCATTATAAACAGAGCCCAATTAAATCCCAGTAGGCTGCAATCAACAGCCCAGTGTCTGCTATTTGGAAAGGGAAAAAAGTCAATACATATTCTGAAAATTTAAAATTTAAGATAGAAATCTGAACTACGGAGTGGTATGCAAATTATTTTGCTAGAGTTTCCAAGCCAAACTAAGACACAAATAAATATTTTTAAAATTATTGTTGTTGTTATTAGTTGCTGTCAAATCAATTTTGATTCTTGGCAACCCCATGTGTGCACAGTAAAAGTGCTCCATAGGGTTTTCAAGGCTCTGACCTTTCAGAAGCAGATTGCCAGGCCTGTCTTCTGAGGTGCCTTTGGGTGGGTTTGAACTGCCAACCCTTTGGCTAGTAGTCAAGTGTTTAACCATTTATGCCACCCAGGGAAAATTCTAGGGCCATATTTATTTGCACAAGTGCTGATCCTGTACACACTGCAAAAGACTGTGAAAACAAATCTTAAATTTGCATTCTGTCACCTTTTGACAAGATCTTGGTTGATAAACCTTAGGAAAAAAGTCTAAAAAGCGGGAAAGGGAAAAAATGTATTTTTCTTTATGTATATATATATGTATTTAACATAACATAATAGCCCCTAAGTGTAAAACCATAATAGTCTTAACTTAGCTTTTTCCTTTCTTCTAAAATCCACAATAATGATACTAAAATGCCTACTTACCACTACAGGAATATTTAATGTTCTAATCAAATCAATTTTAGGGTCTCCGATGGATAGATTTCGTTCAAAAACATAGGCCTTGTTGCTAACAGCAGAGATTGTTGTTCCATTATCCCCAAATTGTACATTTGCTTTGTCTCTGAGCTCCCTAAAAGAAAGAGAAGGGTTTTGTTTGAAATAGTCACTATTATAATAAGTAAGACTTTTCCGTTCTTTCAGCATTAAAGTTTCTTTTAATATACATTCCCAATATAACCATTATAGAGACTGCTTCTTTCAGCTGTAAAGTTATTTTTAACCTAACATTTCCAATATAATTGTTATATAGAAAGACTGCAGATACTAACCCCTTAAAAGCAAATTAAACTATGATACGGGAAGGAAATAAGGCCTAGGATAGAGTCTTCTTTAAAAACTATTGTTTTCATTCTTTTCCTCCACAATTTAGGAAGTGCAACGGTCAAGGCTCAAGGGTTATCTTATCTTAACCAGGGAATCAAAATTAATGAGCTCTCCTGCGTTATGTTTGGTCCTGAGATAGTTTCATATTTTTCAGCTCAGTTTATAGATTTAGTTTGGATTTCAGTTTGTTTATCAATGTCTTTTTTTTCCCCTAACTTGAATTCAGTTGAAAATTCATTTTAAAAATTAAAGATTTAGTAACTTAGTAGAGTTCACTCTTTCTGTTTTGATGTGTGTGTGGTAAGATATATGTAACAACATTTGCCATTTTAACCATTTTTAAATGTATAATTCAGTGGCATTAATTATATTCATAATACCATGCAATCGTCACCACTATTTATTTCCACAACTTTTTCATCAACCCAAATAGAAATTCTGTACCCATAAAATATTCACTCCCCATTTTCCCTTCCCACCAGGCCTATAATTACCATTGATCTATTTTCTGTCATCATGCCGATTTTGGAGTCCCTGGGTGGCACAAACAGTTAAGCGTTCAACTACCAGCCAAAAGATTGGCAGTTCGAACCTACCTAGAGAAACCTTGGAAGATAGGCCTGGCAATCTACTTCTGAAAGGTCACAGCCTTGAAAACCCTATGGAGCAGTTCTACACTACACACCTGGGGTCACCGTGAGTCAGAATTGACTCAACACCAACTAACAACAACAATAAGCCTACTTTTAGGTATTTCCTGTAAGTGGGATCGTATAATATTTGTTCTTTTGTGTCTGGCTTATTTTAATGAGCATAATGTTTTCAAGGTTCATCCACATTGTATCATGTATCAGGACTTCATTTATTTATGGCTGAATAATATTCCACTTTATGAATATACCACATTTTGTTTATCCATTCATCTGTTGATGGTCACTTGGGTTATTTCTATGTTTTGGCTATTGCGAATAATGCTGCAGTGAATATTGGTGTACAAGTATCTGTTTAGTCCCTGCTTTCAATTCTATTGAGTATATACACTCCTGTTTTGGGTACACATTCAATTTTGTTCAGAATCCCAGAATTCTTGCCCCGTTTTTACAGATGGGGACACAAGCAGAGATGGGCAGGAGAAGAGTCAGAACTTGAACCCAGGTCTTCTAATTTGAGTGGAGCGCTCTTCCCTGTGTACTGGGCAGTCTTTCATAACTGGTGCTTAATAAACGTCTGTGGAATGGAATCAGTGATTACCTCTAACAACAACAAAATCTACATAATTATGAGAAAGAAAAAAAAAATACACATCCTTCCAGTTAAGGAGTGAGGAGAACATAAAACATCTGAGACACAGTTGTATTAAAATACTTATACAGTTTGGAGTTCAAAGGCATTTGCAGTGGACTTTTGATTGTTATGCATCCACTCCCCTTTCTTCCGGTAAAAAAACAAAAAACTTGTTGCTGTCGAGTCGATTTCGTCTTATGGCAACCTCATGTGTTACACAGTAGAACTGCTCCATAGGGTTTTCTTGTCTGTAATCTTTACAGAATTAGATCACCAAGCCTTTCTTCCATGGCACCACTGGGTGGGTTTGAACCGCCAACCTTCTGGTTATTAGCTGAAAGCAAAAGACTGGCGCCACTCAAGGTTCCTTCTAGCAATAGTCCCTGACTTCCTTTCCTCCAGTGAGTGCAGCTGTGGGGCCATCAATCAAGGGATGGTGTGGGACCCAAGCTCAACCAATTCCTTTCACTTGGGCCTCCGAATTCTGAGCAAAGTGCCTCAAGATGGAAAACACAGTAGGAAGACCAGATTCCTCCCAGTGGCACATAAGTAATGGGATGATCAATAAACCCCTGAGACCTGGATCTTTAAAGCTGGCTAGACCCTGCCCCTTTCTTCCTTTGTTTCTATAATGCACATTGTATCCTTCAAATAAATCCCCCTTTTACTCATATTAGCCAGAAGTAGTTTCTCTTGCTTGCAACCAAAGACCCCTCATATAGAAATCATAACCCTGTCTTTCTATAGATGGCAAGCTGAGATTCAGATAAAGTTAAGTAGCCCAAAACTAACCAGGCAGTGTCAGAACCAGGTTTAAATCCTGCTCTCCCTACTTGACGTTCAGTTTTCCTTAACCCTACACAGAAGTTAATTCGAAAATGATTTGTTAGAAAGGTAGAAACAACCTAAAAGTCCATCAACAGAGGAATGGGTATACAAAATGTAGTACATACATACAAGGGAATACTCCTCAGCCATAAAGAGAAAAATAAATTCCAGATACATTCCATAACACAGATCAACCTGGAAAACTTTATGCAGAATGAAATAAGTCAGTCACAGAAGAACAAATACTGTATGATCTCATTTATATGAAATACCTAGAACAGGCAAAGATATGGAGACCAAAGTTTTACTACTGGTTACCAGGGGTGGGAAGGACGGGGAAAGGGAATCATTGCTTAGGAAGCAGTGAGTTTCTGTTTAAGGTGATGGGAAAGTGGCAATGATTATTGGTCAGAGCTGCACAACATGATTAATGTAATTAATATCACTAAATTGTACATGTGAAAAATGCTGAAATGGCAGATGCTATGTGGTATATATATATTTACAACAACAACAACAATAATAACAAAGTGATTTGTTAGAAGACAGAGGAGAAGAGGAAATTTCAAAGCCAATTCACTGCATCAACAAAGGCTGGTACTGCAGACAGGGGCACACACTCCACTCCTGTTCACTTCCCCAAAGCCTCCCTGCCCTGAAGAGGAGGAAGCCTCTCCTGATATAGCTGTTTATAATGGGGGCTTAGGAACCCAAGTTGGTCTCGCTGAGTACTAAGGAACTAGAAACAGAAAAAGAGATCAAAGCGTGGTTAGTCCTCAAAGAAAGAGTGCAGGGAGCCAAGAGCTGGAACTCAAAATAAGTCCAGAATCCCAGCAGTCAGCTTTGCCAAAAGTTTTCTGACTAATGATGAAAATCCATGACCTGACTAAGGCATTTTATTTTTCACTGAGCCCTGGGTCCTGAACCTAGAGACCTGAACAATTCTAAGCCCGGGTGTGCTTCATTTATATGTGTTTATGTTTACTTACGCTGGAGATGATGTAAAATGTTTTCTTTATTGTTTACTCTGTAAGAACCTGATGTTTTAATGAGAAATTGGCCACAAGGTCTCCAATCATTTTAAGCCTTGTAACTTGAATTGTTTTCTCAATAGACTTCTAAAGGTCAAAGCAAAGGTTTCTCGAGCCACAACATAATTTAATTCTCATGACAGGCTGACCGTGTCAGGTACTTACAGCTGACCACATGACTGCCCTCAGCAATTTGGGATCTGCCACTAACCACCCAAAGCATGACTGACACGTGGCCTTTACAGAGCAGCTCTAATTGAAGGAAGACAGTGCCACTGGGCTGTGAGAAGTGGCCTGCTCTGTAGAGGGACAGAAAACCAAAGGGAAGAATGGCAAGGGACCTTCCTCTGAAACGACATATGATAGTCAAAAACCTAAAAAAAACAAACCCATTGCCATCTAGTCTATTCAAACTCATAGCAACCTAGAGGACAGAGCAGAACTGTCCCTTAGGGTTTCCAAGGAGCGGCTGGTGGATTTGAACTACCAACCTTCTGGTTAGTAGCCTGAGCTCTTAACTACTATGCCACCAGGGCTCCCATGATAGTCAAAGGATACCCTAAATGCTTCCTCTCCCAGGCACTCCTGTCACTCTGGCAACCCAAGGGTATGCACAGTTCCTGGAGAAGGGGTTTTAGTAACAGTACCAACAAGCTCAGTTACCTAAATCTCCCCCACAGCTGATCAACAACAGAAGCAGGGATGTCTCCTGGTGAACAGTGGACTGAGAGCAAGACGTGATCAATCACTGCCTTGGAGTATCAGAAAAGACCAAAAACATTTCCAGAAACAGAAATGAGTTAAAAAAAAAAAAAAATCTTGGGCCTAGGCAATTAGTTAAGGAAACATACTTGAAAGTGCCTAGTATGGTCCCTAGTACTTAGCTGATGCTAAGAAATTCTGGCTGATGTTGAACACCCCAGGACACCACTGACTATAGTATGAAACTGTTGCCATCCAGTCAATTCTGACTCATGGCAACCCCACACGTTACAAAATAGAACTGAGCTCCATAAGATTTTCTTGGCTGTAATCTTTATGGAAGCAGATTACCAGGTCTTTCTTCCGAGATGCCACTGGGTAGGTTTGAACTGCCAACCTTCCAGCTAGTAGCCAAGAGTGAACCATTTGTGCCACACAGGGACTTTGACTGTGGTATAACATTTGTTAATCACAGTGGCGATCCAATTCATTAAGAAAAGGTCAAATTATGTTCTCCGTGCTATTTAATTAGTCAGGAAAATGCGTGATTAATTTCAGAATATTTCCTTTTAAAAAATTGTTTTTTAGAACAGTTACTACTTTTTAAAACAAACATTTTAAACTCCTGGATATTTAAGCAAAAACAAAACTTCAGCATCATAGGAGGCAAACAATAGCCTGAGATAAGGACTGGAAACCAAAAGGAGTATATTTTATTAGCTGGAAAGTTAACATTTGTGCAATATCTAATTTGGATGCATACAAATGATCGTATACTCCTTATCTTTCAGTCATTTTTAGTGCAACAATTAGATGCTCGGCTGCTAACTAAATGGTTGGCAGCAGTTAGAACCTACTCAGCGATTCCATGGAGGAGAACCTGGTGATCTACTCCTGTAAA